ACCGGGAGATTTAATTTATTGTTAAATTAACTTCCTTTTAAAGAATTAAATTGGAATTGCAAGGATTGTGCGCTATAGCTTTGTTGAAGCTATACAAGTACATAACTCGCGGATACGTAATTATAATTCCTGCGCTAAATGCAAATTCGAAATTCTTAATTTTGCTCCAAGGTATATTTTTACAAGAATATTTTATTTCTATTCAGGATGTCTATGGTCTATTTAAAACCTGAGTCCACGCTCATTGCGATGCGAGTGTGCGCAACCAGCGCATTATGCCACCGCATAACGTAGCCGTTTGTCCGGGCTGCTGGCTTTGCCAGCAATGTATCCAAGTGTGGACAACGCATTATATATTTCTAACCGTCGAAGACGCGAGGATTGCTAATCTTGTCTATCGCGACACGTATGCACGTATGCACACGGATGCACACGCACGTCGCGCACGCCGGCCGGCGTTGACAAACTAATCCTCGCGCTATACCGGGTGATAGTAAAGTACGCTGACAAGCCAGCAGTCGTGTAGTATTTTCGTGGTTTAGTCGCGCCTGATAAATCTCGCGCGTTAGCCCCGCGACAGCGCGAGTAACCGCATCACATCAGCTTCGAAAATTATAAGTTTATGAAATTTTTGCGAACTTCATGGCGCAATCAATATCTCGCGCGAATTATTCTTGTCACTCGTTATGACGAAACGCGTCTGAGCACATTACAAGTGATTTCAAAATAATAGATATTTCGCTTGAAAATCGGACTAATGTGAGGATATGTTGAGTTCTTGTCTTATAAGCAATCGTTTTGTTAGAAATAATTTTATATAACTTTATGTCCTTTAATCAAATGCAATATACTTCCTTCATTAATAATTATAAACGACATCCTTCCTCTTCATGTCATAACGATTTTCAATTATTACTTATCTCACTGCACCGTTTGAGAATACGAACGAGACGAATGAAATTCATTGCAAAATACGAAAGCAAACATTGTCACATTAATAACAACTGGCTGAAATTCCCTAAGTTAAACAGCCGCGTTAGCCGTAGAAACCAATCCCAAACTGCTGATGGTATTGCGAATTAGCGCGGAATACTTAATCGTACAAAATCGATCGTCACGTTGCAACTTTGTTGCGTTAATCGAGCAACAAGTATCTAGTCAGTATTCTAATGATGATGCGCCTGATGTTATGTAAACTATGTTAGGTACACTCAGTATCACATTTAATCAATTAGTCTTAACTTTCTACATTGATTTGTGCAACAATCTATTAGTTGCTAAAAATGTATCACAAAAATTAGCGATTTCATAAATTAATTTCTCTCTCTTTCTCTCTCTCTCTCTTTAATAATATCGTTTCTGCTTGCCATCGACAGAATTAATCGACAGGGTTAATTTAACACTTAGGAAGTAATTCGCACTGAAAAAATATTGAAATAAAAATTTAATCAAAAAATTTAATTTCGCATTGATATAGAACGCACTACGTTCTAATAAACAATTATGAGTCTAAATTAATAATTATACTATTCTTTTCTTGAAATGCATTTTTTCAGATATCATAATATATTATGATATCTTAAAAAATTATGTTAATTATTTGATACTTTTTTCTTAATTTTGATTTTTGTAACTTCATAGAAAATTTTTTCACAGTCAACATGATATCATTCTCATGTACTGTCTAATTTTAATTCATTACGCCGGAAATGAATTCGTTAGAGCCAAACTGCGACAATCAATCTTGCAAAGTCGAAAGTCAATACTGCAGACAATCAGTATGAAAATGAACGTTACGTGTGCTCGTACGTGCACCGGGTTCGATACTAGTTAAGTTAACTGGTGCGAAGTGGGTTTACCGCGGTAAAAGGCGGGTTGTACTAGCTAACCCCTTCGGTGGGCTATTATCTGCACGCGTGTGCCCTTAGCCTATTTTTTTATTTACGACGCGTAAGTCAACCCCATAACACCGTGACAAGAATAATTCTGATATTAAATGCTCAGTGCTGCAGTTTCTCCTCTTTCTTTTTGTGGCTCGATTAGGATCATAAAAATATATAGACATATTAAATTTTTCGTTTGATATTAAAAAGCTATCTTGTCCCTTGATACGAAGAACTTTAGATACAAAGAATTTTTTTTATAATGACACAATTTGCTAGAACAGATACATTGTATAGAAATTTAAAAATTTAAGAAATCTCTCGCCTATTTCGTGAACTGAATTTATTTAAACAGCGAGATATTTAGCTAATTCAATTTTTAACCACGTATTTAGTAAATGAACGATGTTATTGATTAAAGTACGGTATTTCTGTTGATTAAGCTGTTAGATCTCAGCTAGATACAGTTCACAATTTAGGAAGGAAAACTTTTGTCCTGCTTTTTGAAGTAATTTTCAAGTAATTAAGAAAGGAGAGGCACTGGGTGTAATGGCGGATACACCGCGCGGAAGGAGACTTTGGATAGCCTGTAATTTTTATTCTTATGTAAATGACAGTTTAAATGATTTTACTTTCCAAATCATGATTTTTCCGTAACTTTTATCTTATAAAGAGTATCATCTTATTTAATAAAGGAATATTTAAATAGCTAATCAAATTCTGATTCTTAGTTAAAAACATTTTCTACTCTTTGTGATCATTTCAGAGTTTTAATACAAAATTGTCATTTATATATACTTCGTAATTTCTATCATACTCTCCAACTATTTTTCTTTCTTCTTTACGCCTCTTGTCTAATATCTTTCTTCAATCACAATTCAATAGTGACCAAATTAGATCGTAAACTAAGAACTCCAAGAAAAAAATATATGAATCAAAATTGTAAAATTTAATCGATCTTACTATGTGTTACTTCGATTATTGTCGATGTGAATAATTTCCAACTCTGCTCAGTGGAGTAATTAATAGAAACGTTGACACATCTTTCGGAAAATCAAAACAAATTTGAAACCTAATCTGGGTGTTTTTTCAACAAAAGATATTTACTTAAGCTGTTAAGGTGAAGACTTTTGGCGGGTTAGGGACCAAGAAAATAGAAAGAAAGATAGAATAAAGAAAGATAGAAAAGGCGGTGGAAGGAGAAAGGAGGGGGAGGAAGATAGAAAGTCGAAAAAATGAAACAAGCTGATAGAGGGAGCGAAAGAGGGATAGATCGGATGGAAAGGATGGGAAATCAGAAGAAAAAGAGTAAGGAACGAAGAAGGGAACTAGCGATCGGCAGGGGTTGGAAAAGGGCGGTCGGGGAGTTGAAAATATGAGATCCGCTCTGGTAGGGACCACCTAGCCAGCCTCCGCTTCTTTCCGCGGCCTCCCGCTCCTTCTCGCGGCTTATCCCCACTCACGCGGTGTCCTTTCCGAGATGAGACGGCGCGCGACCGTGGTGGGGATACTCCCAGAGTCCAAGATTGGTCGTGTGGGGGGTTGGACTACCCCACTACGAGTCGCAGATCCCGCCTATCTCCCACCATTGGCTCTGCGCCTCCTCCAGGCATTGCATCGGTCGTCCGGTAGCTCTTAGTTTCAGGTTAGGAGCCTGCTAGGACGGGTCTCGTTCTCTCTTCTTGAGGTCATCCGGACGAGAGCGGACGAAAGAGTTCGCGACCCGGGTGCATCAGTGGAATCATAAAACGAGGAAGGAGGCCAAGAAAAAAGAAGAGGAGAATATCGAGAATAACGCCAATCGTCTCTTCATTACTCTGCCCTTCGACAAAAGAAGGCACCGAACGTCAGACATTGGGTCTGCCATCAGAGTGACATCGATGAGACTCAAGAGACTGCTGGAGAACGGATTACATGAGCAGGAGAGCAGATTTCGAAATCGCGCGGCGTATCGATCAAGTGTTATCTTCAAGTGTCACCAAAGTGTTCCGAATCTCGAAGTGATCTTCCTCATGTGACTGGAGGAGACTCCGTGTTCACATCGTCGTGATTGTTTTTTTTTTGTGTAGTCGATTGTGCACCCAAAGTGCGCGAGTGTCGCGGACTGAGCTCCGGTTGACGCGAGTGAGAAACACTGATCCGTTCCGTGATGCGTGCCGTGTGATGCGGCAGCGGGTAGAGATCTGCTCGCATGAGGACGACGAAGAAGAGCATAACGTTAAATATCGGCAGACTGTCTGTGAGAGACTACACTATCCTGATGAGTCTGCGGATGGTCCTGTCTAGGAGCTCCATGACCCTCTGATAGTAGTGATAGTAGTCTAATGATACGGTGACGAATGATACGGATCAACACAATCCGTCGATCGAGGAAGATCGAGACGTTTAGCACAGTGCTAATAATGCCGCGGTGCCGAGCACGTTTTCGACAAATGTGAAACTACCGTTTGGTCTGTGAGAATTCCAAGTGTCGTGATTCAACGTTGCTTATGAACGAATCGCGACGCGCTGAATCCAGACAATCGGTTCGGAAAAACAAGAAAGAGACCGATCCAAGTACTCCGTTTAGATTAGAAATCAATAGATAGAGTACGTGCCGTGTGAGTGATAACTATCAAACGCTTGTAACGAACGACGTTGGAAACTGTCGAGGGAAACTCCTGAAGGTCGAATGCGCGCTGCCACGAGAGAGTGTCGGCCCGGCGATGCTCATCGCGTGGCAATAACACGAAAACGCGAGCCACCGAGTGGACGCGTGACACGCTACACGTTGCGTTGTGGACTGCCGGTGAGAGACGGTACCGACGGAACCGCCGCCTAAAACGTGTTCCCCGAGTGCGACCGGCAACGGAGGCGGAGGAGGCGGCGGCGGAGGCGGCAAACGAGGAAGAGCAGTTTTGCGTCCGCCGGAGAAGCTCGAAGCCGTCAAAGTGGCTTCGTCACTGGGGCTCCAGGGGCCGTCAGCGCCGATCGGGGCCCAACTACTGGCTACTGGTGGTTCGGAGGATGCGCCGACCGCGACCGTGTACCACGCCAATCTGGTAGCCGGTAGCAACACCTCCGTCGTGACAGCGGCGCTCCAGCAGCCCATACTAGCGAGTCTAAACTCAGCGGCATTGGCCAGCATGCAGGCCTCCGCGGAGGCCAACTCGCGGAATATAACGACCATGGAATGGCTCTACAAGAAGGAGCCCTTATTCACGCTTGCCCACTTCTGGCAACAGGTAAGTGCATGACACGATGTGTATTCCACGCTCAGTAACTCCCACGGGATAATAGTTCGGTGTTGATTACTGTGAATTCTCCTCGCATTGCCTGTCATGCGAGACTCAAGTGTCCAATATCACGACCGATCAGTCAAATATTTGGCCGGAAAAGAATCTTGCATTGCCGATCAATGCGAATGTAGAGAAGTTATTCCTTCGTTACGTGACAGAAAAGTGAGCGCGATCGTTGTGCTACGTGCACGTTGTTTCGGTGACGAGGATTAGTGCGGACAGGCTGAGTAGCGAGTATTTTGGGTCACGCGAGAGCAAAGTGATCACGATTGTGCCGATTGGGTGTATTTTGCATTAGAGGGAGAGAGAAAGAGAGAGAGAACTTCGTAGGTGTGCGTTCATTCTACGTATATCCGGAAATGGGCCGCTCCGCGTTGGCATAGGGTGAGATAATCCCGGAGGGTTGCCGGAGGGTTCGACCGTGTCACGCGTTCACTGCTAGTAGGAACGTTTAAATCAGAAAATCTACTCGATGCGGGTAACACAGTTATTCGATACGTTGCCGGTATTTACGCGATGGGACAGACCGTCCATGTAATACGAAAGAAAAATATACACACTTTGAAGAGACTTGCGTTTTCTGTTTACACACGGTGGTATTGCGCTATAAATGTCGCTCCGATATTCTGATGCCATTGATTATTGATAGCATTGCGGTCTTGATAATTGCAAATTAAATTACGGAAAGCATAAAAAGAAAATGTGTTATACTGCTATCAAAATGTTAAACATAGAGTTGAATAAAAAACCGATAAGAATGTTCAACATTTATTACTGGTAACGATGACTTGTGCATATTCGCGCACAAAGTATTTATTAGCAACTACTAGGTAAGATTAGCTTCGTGTACGTGACATATTACAATTGTACTGCGCGATTAAATATAATCTACTGTAAAATAGATAAATTTTGCATTTGTTTTTGCGTCTTCAAAATCCTCACGAATATTTTAATTGATTGCGGAAGTAAATGGAGAATATGGGGCATGAAGGAAAGTGAAAGAATGATATAAGATTATTAATAACATTTCACAGCATAAATGAGAAATATATTACCATTCGAAAATCGAGAATCATTAGATTTGAAAGCTAAATTTCAATATACATGTATTGTCATACACTGTTGTATGATATATCAATATTTTACTTACTAAAATAAATTCAGAGAAAAATGAATTATTAATATTTATGATCTCTTTCGTATTTCAAAATAATGTATATTCGTTATTTGGTGATCGCTATATATCGGATTTTCCCAGTAACTGTCGTGCAACTTTACGTTAAATTTTCGTAAAATTTACTTGTCGATAAATAAAAACGTTTCATCTGTCACATCACTGACATCGCGATTCTTAAAGCAAGCACATGAATTTAATTGACAGGCGGAATATCGGAGCAGGTTAATAACAACGTGCTGTTTAAGAGTGTATTTCATGAGTATTCATACGAATTCATCTGTTTCGATAACCGTTGACGAATCGGTACGTACACCGGGAACAATTAATGAGGAAAAATTAAATCACTGCGTTTCTCTGACAATATTGACGAATAACGTGAGCTATTGATATCTATTAAGACCGATGGTCGTTTGCCGTAAGTCCCGTCATTGGAACTATTTGTATCGTTGACTATTAGTAAGAAAAAAAAATAATCTGTCATTTCTCTCCTCTCTCGTGAAGGTAAAATGGGAAGATATTAAAAAGAATTTAACATGCCCGTGGTTGACGAATGTATAGCTGTCAGTATGCAGCGTGATTTATAAGTCACTTGCTCATTAAGATAATTTGTACGTTGGAAACGTTTTGTCAAACATTACTATCGAGTGGCGAGTCTTGGACACATATCTCAAAAATAGAATTGCTTTGTCAGTCGATAATGTCTGTGAATAATGTTTGTAAATAATGTCCGTTAGAGGTAAATCTTCCACCGCAAAATCTTTCGACACCTCGTCCGTAATTGCTCGTTGGTCAGATTCTCGGCCACTTTGCCGATTCTAGGGTCAAATGCCGAAGGTGTGAGGATGGCTAACGTCGAAGTTTCCCTAGTGCGGTACTTGGTGTTTGGAGGATAGTTTAGCGATTTGGGGATGGCGTGGCCGACTTGCGGCAAAGTGGCCGACATAGAAGGGGGTTGTCGCTAGCTGATAAACGATAAAGCCCCACTGAAACGTGCCGATGTTAATGACTGGCCACAGGAAATGCAAACGATTGTCGCATCCTTTGATTAGCGGAAAATCAACTACGGGACGAAAAAAGGAAGGAATCGGACAGATGTCAATGAACGACGACTTTTCGTTAAAAAATCGATATTTTACCGGATGTTTCAATAATTCATAATTTATTATGTCTTAAATTAGTTCAAAAAATAAACTTAATATATTTTCTGGGTATTGTTTATTAGGAAAAAAAACATTGATTTTCAAAGATTTTTTATTAAAAAAAAAATACAAACATATATTTGTTTGTTTTATCCTGCTTTTCGAATTTTCTTATTCAGAGATTGTATTTACTATTACAATAAATTATAAAATGTAAGTTAATAAACTGATATCGTTATCAATATAGGAACAGATATAAATTTTAAATTAAGTGTTAAGATTTTCTAACATCATAATTGAGGTATTCGATATTGCTTGGAAGGCACAATGCAGTGCATTTTACTAGTTATTCTCTTTTAGCATGTAATAATGTTAAGGAACCATAATCGAACGTAGGCAACCCTCGCTCGTTATTACCCAACTACCGGTTTCCTATAAAATACACCCGCTTAATAACGCGCGAACTAGTACCACACCGTCCTTCACCACGAGATTATGACCCGCGCGGCTTGGGACTATTAATGGCGCATAGTTTCATAATTATGTCTATTGATTAGGCTACGAGCTAATGACGTAGGCACGCCGTTCGTCTAATCTGGGAAAACTGAAATTTCTTCAGATTAAATCTTAGGCTTTAAATATCAGCTATCGACAAAATTTTGTAATTTTTATATTATAATAATTTTTTTAATATGAAAAATAAAGTATATACTTTAGAGAGAGCATGGAGAGAAAAAGGAAGAGAGGAAGAGACAGAAAGCACGAATTAAGTGATATTAATACTTAATATAAAAGTCAGATTTTGTTAGAAATAAGATGTCGTATAATAATTGGATTGTTCAATATGTTTTTTTCAATTATTTTAATAAGATTATATTCTAAAATTATTCATACGGTAAAAAGTAATGTCTGAATAATATAAATGTAATGTCTGAATAGTATAAAGTAAAGTAACGTCTGAATAATATAACGCACCAAAACGTTTCTGACTAAAGTGTAAAATCGTGAAAGCGAATTAACGTCTCTCACTGCGACGCGGTAGTTGAGCAGTGTGAATTCGTACTTTTAATTCGATGCGGTTTCTAAATCAAGCATAGTTGCAAATGGCTTGCCATTTTAGAGGCATCATTAGATCAGAGCCATAACTAGTAAAGGCGAAAGACTATGATTATAATAGGAATTATACACTAGGTTCTTTTCGACGAGTCTCTGATTGTGAGAGTAGTTTCTTTCATAGTAATTCCATAAAGCATCCATATGACAAAACGCGCGATAGTATAAAGTACGTTGCTCCGTCTGGCGACGCGCAGAAGATTGCAGCGCAATTTTCTGACTCGCGCACTATCGACGACAATCGAGTGAGTCTCCCAGCTCGTTAGCATGGTACATTTCTCGACATCATCATATTGACTTTCATATTGACGCTGATTCATCATTATTGCACAACATAAAAAACTCACGTCGCAAAAACGTAATATTTTCATGAATTATTTCCCCCATCAATTGATTCATAATTACTTACAAATCTTTTTTATTACAAAATATTTTGTCAAAAAACTATTTGTTCTATTATTTATTTTACTATACATGAGCATTCTTTAAGAAACTTTTTCGAAATTTTGAAAGTTACAATGAAAGTTGAATTATATTTCGAATATTTCTCAATGCAAATACTTATAAAATAACGGCAATAATTTGTAGCATATCGTGTCATAAATGAAAAATTAATATCAGATAACGATTTTTGTATTGTCTCTATATTCAAATCCAGCTAGTCGTGCAACATTTTGCAAAATTAGGTCGTCGTGAATCCATCCTGTTTCTATAAAACAAATCTGTAAAAAAATCGTTGCAACAATGTCTGCAATTTCGACACGAAATAGCAACTCTCAAGACCATGATTGAAAAAAAAAAACACTACATTCAATTCTAGTGATCAAACTTTCTGTTCACTGAACGGAAATTGCATTGACAGATGTGAATGTGTATATAGTGAATATAACTTCCTTTAGATAAGCATGCATGAATGCCGACAAATATACATTGACGTGTGGAATATAAAGGACGCTTTTGCGCAAAAATAAGTTTTTGCATGTTCGAATCTGCTTTTGATGCTTAACAAATTTAATTTCTATTATTATTTTTTATTATTAATCTGTATGCTTATTTACCTAAATTTACTTTTAACACGCACGGGGCTTACAATAGCATTTTTATTTAAGAATATTATTTTCCGAAGAAAAGATAATTTCGATTGATGATTAATATTGTTGCTACTGTAAATTTCACAAATAAATGATCATGCTCGGCGATGAGTGTCAATCGAGAGCGTGAGGAAAAAGAAATACGATTCCTAAGTATCAATTCCGGTCTGGTCCAGCAGCATCCGTGCGCGTGGAACGAGACCTCGGAGCGTACTCCCAATTAGGAGCGTGTCGGCCGTGAATGGACAAAAGTTTTGCCGTGGCTAGCCCTCTCCTCCCTTCGTCTACAACCCCCACCGCAACGACGAGGCATCCCCTCCGTTGGAGACGTTTCGCGGCTCCGCGCAAGGCAGAGGTAGGGGGAATCCCCAACGAGGTTCCCGAAATCCCCGAGAGACGGCGACACTTATCGAGGCGCGTCGCACG